TTCTGTGCAGACTACAATTTGCAGTGGGATTTACAGAAGGATATTCAAAGAAGATTATTTCTTTCTTGCAAAGCTAGTGGAAAGGAAAATTTCTTCCATTAATTTTCAATCCTTTGAAAATAAGACTATACCATGTTATTAATGGATGTAGTTTTATAAATCACTAATATTTTAACTTAATTTTGTTCAATTTAGTTGTATACAATTATTCTATTTCATCTTTGTACTCATTGCTTACTTAGAAAGCATCAAGATTAGATAACTGTTAAAATCAAATTCTGTTGCTTTGTTATTTTTTTCATTTAATGTTACTACTAGAACTGGCAAAAAAGATGTTTTCAGATATTATGCAAAAGTGGATAAGAGAGTTAAAATTTAAAAGCAGAATGAAGTTTAGGAAGCAAACATAAAATGGGAGAGAAAAGCAGTATCTGTGAGTTCTTCAAATCTCTTAATGGAACATATGGTATTTCCCCTCCCCCCACAAATATAAGGCTAATATCTCATATGTACTTTGTCAGTGATGAGGAGTTTATCTGTGGAGAAAGGATTTATTAAGCAAATTGAGAGAAACACATGGTCAATTCTAAACTAATTGAGAATAAACTACTTTCATGTATTTTTACACCATTTGTGAAAAAGAAGCAGTAGCATAATTACAATAGAATCTCACATTCTCATTAAAGCAAGCCTACTGGCCTTCTCCACTATCCCACACTCACCTCTTGGTTTGAGTAATAAATGCTCATAAAGATACTCTATGTCTTAACTAATTCAGACCACCCCTCTTCAACAAAAATTAACATGTTACATTATTTTTGAGTTGCACAAACTATTGTCATTATAAAACATTTGAAAAATCTTTAAAATTGAACAGTTAATCATTAAAATGTAGCTGAAGAAATACTTCAGGGCCAACTTTTTGTCTAACAAACTAGCAAAAAAATTTTAATACTATCAAGTGGGGGTACAAATCCTAAGAACTCATTCTCAAATGACACAGCTGCAAGTGCAAATTAGTACAACTTTCTGAAGAAGTGGACTTTATAAATCATTAGTATATTTACATAAGAATTGTAATAACAATATGCATAAAAATCCTTTAAATATTAATATTTTTGCCTTAGCAGTCCCAATTCTGAGAATTTACACTAAGAAAATAATCAGAAAGTATGTATAATAAGTAAAAACAGTTGCTGTACTTTATTGAGTACATATTATACGTTACAGGTACTCAGTGTTACTTTACATAAATTACCATATCATTTAATTCTCATAATAACCCTAAGAAGCAGCTATGAATATTACCTTCACTCATAGCTGAGAAAAACAAGCTTATAAGGTAAGGAACTTGTCCAAGGTCATAGAGTAAAACTCAGATCTATGTGAATCCTAAGTCCAAATTCTCACTTATAACATGCTAATATACCGAAGAAAAATCTAATAAGAAATAGTGGTTTCTCTAGGTTGGAAATTCTATAGAATATTATTTATAATTGTAAAAAACCAACCTGGGTCAACCTGGATACAACTTAAATGTGCAACAAAGTGGGACTATTTAAAGGGGTACTATACAGCTATTAATTTAACATAACATCGAGATACATATTAGTGATATTTTTAAAAGTTCTTAATATCTTGAGTGAAAAAAAATCAGGTTTAAAGCAGTATGTTTCCCCAGGTGTGGAGGTAATCCTAGCTATTCAGGAGGCTGAGGCAGGAGGATTACAAGTTTGAGGCCAGCCTCAGCAACTTAGTAAGACCCTGTCTCAAAATAAAAAATAAATCAATAGTAAGTGCCCTTGGGTTCAATCCTCAGTATGTATGTATGTATGTATGAACGTAATATGTATGTGTGTGTGTGTGTGTATATATATGAATGAACAAACGAACGAATAATAGTATGTCACTGGATGTGGTGGCACAAATCTGTTAAATCCCTGCTACTTGGGAGGCTGAGGCAGGAGGATCATAAGTTTGAGCCAGCCTGAGGCAACTCAGGGAGACTCTATCTCAAAAGAAAATAAAAAGGAATAGGGATATAGTTCAGAGATAGAGCACTTGCCTATCATGTGCAAGCCCACGGGTTCAATACTGCAAAAAAATTAAAACCAACAAAAAATACTATGTTCAATGTGATCCCCAATACAGTGTGTGTGTAGAAAAAAGAATTGAAGAAGATAGGTATTTATGCTTTTCTGTATTTTCTAAATTATTTTTGTAATTAGGAAAAGCTATATTTTGGGGGGTAGCACTTAGAAGGAAAGAAATGTTTTCTCCAGGATGATAAAACATTATAAATCATTTGTGCTCTGAAAAAAAGTTAAAAACATTTTCTTCCCACTGAAAATGTAGAGAGGAGAACAGTGGTGGGAGGTAGACTACAATAACTAAAGAATGGCATTTATATTTCATTTTCAAAAACAACTTGGAAGACTGAGCATCTTTAGACTGGTTTGAGCCCTCAGGCTTTTGTCAACCTATCATTAGGTAACAATGTGAAAGCTATTTGCAGGGAAAGATTTTGTAATATTTCTAATATATTTCTAAGACACCTATGCTTCATTCTTTTCTCTGTTCTGAACTTTAGTTACAGGGAATCATATTTTTCCCCCTGAGGAAAACCAAAAAGTCTAATGTGAATTTATTATACTGCTGAAGCAGAAATAATTTTTGTAACTTTAAGAGTACATGGATGATCCAGACAGTGAATCATGAATTGAAATGATTTTGAATAAGCTTGTATAGACACTTATTTTTATATTCTTTAGCCTTCTACTCATCTAAAACTCCACCTTGAAATGCTTCAACAATTTAAAGATTAAATCATAAGTTATTAAGCCATTAATTTAACCATTTAAGCCTCTAAAATCAGCATATATTACCTCCCCCCCTCAAGTCAATTTGCAAGAGATTAAATTAATAAAAATGATAATATCTCACACTCACAAAGAAGCTTTGATCTGCAGAAGCCTAAAGTACTTTTTAAAAACTTTATAGAAAAACTAGGCCTATCCACCCACATCCCACAGTACATCTGAGGTAGAAGCTGGCAGCTGGTGAAAAGCAATGGAGCGTCTGCAGGGAAGACTACCACTTTTGAACAAGCACAGGAACAGACAGTGTAGGGAAATGCAACAGAATTAGCTTCTCAATTAAATAGGGAAATTCAAAAGGCTATTATTTAAATTTTCACCAGGAGTGGCTTAAGGGAAAATAAAAACCAGAAAATAAGGACTGGAAAATACCTCAGTGGTAGACAGCTTGCCCACCATGCTTCAAGTCCAGGGTTTGATCCCCATCACTGAAAAATAACAAAGACAGACAGACCCCACCTACTCTCGGGAGTTACTAGTCTTGTTTATTCTCTGCAGATATTCCTGAGAAGGATAGATACTACTCAGAAATAGAGTGAACTATGATAGTCTGAGGTCTTTCCATGGCTGGCAACTTTCCTCTCTCATTCACACCCAATTTGAAAGATCTTTAAATAGAATATTAACTATTTTGGGGGGGAGCATTCTGGGGATTGAACCAAGGACCTCACACATGCTAGGCAAGCACTCTACCACTCAGCTATACCACCAGCCCTAGAGTATAAATCTTGCCATTTCAGGGCTCGTGGCTCAGAATCTGCTTCTTCCATCTACTGCAAGCACCCATCACCAACAATTTTCTGCAACCTACAAAAACAAGAGACTAACTTCTTAAACTTTGATTTGGGGGAGTCTGGGATTTTGGAATGGGTTTTTCCTTTTTAGTCCCTTTCCTAACGAAAAACTAAAGCACTTCTACCATCTGGGGTGGGTTAGAAGTGAGGGCCTATGAGTAAGACCAAAGAACACCCAGAATCATGTTTAGTAGGCAGCACTCAATTTTCAGGATTTTCTTCCCCAGTTATGACTTTCCCACGTCTTTTACTTTTATCAATTCATACGAGTAAAAGATCAAGCATAAAAAAAGGTTTAAATCAAAGAAATACTTTAGTTGGATATAAAATATAATTTCCTCACTATCTGTCTGGTAGGATGTCAAATTAGCCTACCAATGACAACATTGACTACCAAGTGAGACAAATAGGTAGAGTCTTCATAGTGAGACTTTCGAAAAGGTTTTTTTTTTTTTTTTTGAGCAGTCATCTATCTTAGATAACCTACTTGTCACTTTCTTGAATATAAGAGAGATGGACCAGATGATCTTAATGTCCTTTCAGCTCTAGGATCCTATTCTATGTTGTTTTAGCTTCACTGATGGTTCAAAGTAGCCATATTAAGAAAGTGTTAAATGGGGAAAAGAAGATTGAGGACTGAGTTAAGTTGTCAAGCAGACTCTATTACCTAACATACAATCATCCTTTTGTAGGGATTCTTGGGAATATCTTCCCAATGATCACCTCTTTTCTTTCCCAAACTATCCAATCAACTTAATTGGCCTTCAACAGTTCAACTTTATACATAAATAAAAGAACTTAAAAGAAATCCTATATAAGTTTGCTCTACTCCACCTGAATACTCTTAACAATTCTTCTTTTAATCAAGTTGATATAAAGTTAAGAAATGAAAATTAATCTTAAAATGTACTAAACAAAAAAGATAATTTAAAAGGTAAAGATACCCTTAATAAAAATGTATTACAGGGGCTAGGGTTGTGGCTCAGTGGTAGAGCACATGTCTCACACGTATGAGGCACTGGGTTCAATCCTCAGCACCACATAAAAATAAATAAATAAAGATATCATGTCCATCTACAACTGAAAAAAAATTTTTAAAAATGCATTACAAAGTTAAAAAAACAAAAACAAAAACAGTTAATGCCCCTCCCTTACAAGGTATGCTGATAATTTAGTTTCATTTGAGAAGAACAGTTACTACAGGGTTTATGTACATGTGTACAAAGGAAGATATATGCATGTATATACATGTATGTACAAGCACGCACGTGTGTGTGCACACACACATCTAAGGGACAGGAAATTAAAATAAAATTACAAATCTTGATACCTTCTTCATGGCCTGACACTTGGCTGTCTCAGAAAAGCCAATCATCTTATCAGGAGAACAGATCTTGATGAAGGGGAAGTTGGATTCCTCTGCGATCTTTGCAGCTAATGCAGTCTTCCCACTATGAGGAGGGCCTGCATAAAGATATGAACAAGTCAGGGGAAAAAAGCCAACCTAAGCAAAGGAGAATCAAACAAGTTTAAACTTTGATCCACAATGTACTGAGGTCTCAACTAGTTGCTCATTAACATTTCCTGACACAGTTTCATGGCAGACATGTTTCCTTTTATTTATTAGCAACTAAACTTAATGATCTGATTAGCATTTTTTAAAAGTATGGTGAAATAACATGCCTTCTTGCTGTTTCACATTGCCTTAATCTTTCAAAATTCTCACTGTGTTTATAAAGTGCCAGGGTTTTGTTTCTTAAAAGAGAGAAAGGGGGGAGGGAGAGAATGTAATGCCTATCAGCACTTGTGATATTAGTTCTATCAAACTGTTTAACAAAAAATACTATCGTGTTAGGAGATGATATTGTGACTAGGGAAAAACTGCCTCATTAGAAGTAAATGTTCTATAAAAAGATAGAATTCTAAAGACACAGGCCTTATCTAAAGGCAACCAAATCTACAAATTTACCTGCATTTAGACAACCTTTCCCTCCCCTCATGTGTATTGGAAGATACGTCCCTCTTCCAACCATAAACCAATAAATTTTTCCCTACCATCTTCTCAGGAACCTGACATTAGCGACCCTTCCTCGTTCTAATATGTTCAGCTGCTTCCTCTTCCCTGAAGCTTTTTCAATAGTGTTAAACATGATCTGATCTGACAGTTAAAAAAAAAAAAAAAAAAACACCCTTTCTGGACTTCATTCCACTCAACAATACCCTTCAAAATGGAACTTCCCTAAACAATCATCTCCATTTGTAGCTTCACTCTTCATCTCCCCTTCATCTGTCCATCGCCACCAACCATACAGCTTCCACTGCATGACATGATTAGGCTACCATCAATGATCTCCGTGCTACCAATCAAGAGAGATACTTCATCTTTGTTGACCTCTTAGAAAATTTGATACAACTTGTAACTTCCCTCTTTCTTGAAACACCTTTCCATTTCTGGCTTCTGAGACAGCATGCTCTCCCTTGGCCCCTTACTCCTCAACAAGACTCTTGCTCAGTCTCCTTTGTCAGCACTTCCCACTTTTTTTAGTCCTAAATTGTTAATGCACCTCAGAGATAAGTTCTAGGTCCTCTCTTCATCTCAACCCTCACTTCTTCTGTAAGTGACTTCATCCATTCCCATGGTTTCAAAGTCAGTCTCCAAACTGACAAATCATGAATCTATTGCCAGCCGGGCTACTCTTCTGAGTGCCAGGCCTACCTATGCAATAGGCTATTTGCCATTTCTAATTTAATTCTCCTACAGGAGCCTAGAATTTATTCAAAACCGAACTCATGATCTGTCTTCCTCAAACTGCTTCTTCACTAGTATTCCTAATCTTAGTAAACAGCACCATTTACCAGGCTCTATAATGCCAGAAATCTGGGAGTCATGTGTGATAACTGATATATGTATGATAACTAAACAATCAAACCAATATTTCCAAGCTTCAGCCCCCACAATTACAAGACAGGGATAACAAGAGCATCTATTCCCACAGAACTGACATTAGGCTTAAATGAGATAACTCATATAAAATACTAACAGAGTGATTGGCAAATGGGAAGGTCTTGAAGAATATTAACCCAATTATAGTTGAGAATTAATAATAATGATTTTTGTCACACTTTGTTCTACCTCCTAGATATTTCTCAGATTAGCCTACTGGGCTCCAGCTCCACTCAACCAGCACTCATTAAGACAAGATGCAACTGCTTCTTTTTGATTTTCCATCCATTCTCCATGATGAGGCAATTATGATGATGTTCTGAAAACACACATCTGCTCACATGACTTATTGCTTAAAACCCTACAAATGGCTTCCCATTGCCCCTAAGATGCAGTCTTTTTATTTTTTTAGCTGTAGATGGACACAATACCTTTATTTTGTTTATTTAGGTTTTTTTATTTTATTTTTTTAAATGTGGTGCTGGGGATCAAACCCAGGGCCTCATGCATGCTATGCAAGTACTCTACCAACTGAACCACAACTCCAGTCCCAAGATGCAGTCTTTAACATCGCCAGTGAGGCTTTGTAAGAAATGGCTCCTATCTACACTTCTTCAGTTTATGTGTAGTGAATTTTTCTGTTTTCAGATCTTCTCTGCTCAGGGCTTTTTCACATGCTAGTCACTCTGCCTAGAACACCAATTACATAGCCCAGCCAGCTTCTCTGCATCCTTTGGGTCTGGGCTTAACATGCTTCTCTCAAGGAGCCCTTGCCCCATGACTTTTGAGGGAGTTAGGTTCCTGTCATCTGGCCTCACTGAATTTTTCTGTCCTCATACTAATCATAATTGTACATTAATTATTTGTGAATGGAATGTCCTTCCCCTGTTGTCTACTTGATAAAATCCTAACTAATCCTTCAAGGCCTAAATGAACCATCACTTCTGGTTTACTCTGACCACCCTTGGGCAAAATTTCTTGCATTAGCACACATCCTTACACACAAATGCTGTAGTTAGGAATTTCTTTACAAGTCTTTTTCATGACTAGACTGAACGCTTGAGTGGAGATGCTTGAATGTCTCTATCTCCAGCAACTAAGTAGCCTAAAACACAGCAAGTATTCAGTAAATATTCTTGTAACTGAATGAGGTCTATTTAATATCAGAGAAATTTAGATACAATCCTACAAGAAAACTAATTGCTATCAGTAACACTCAATCCCAAGGAAATTTTAATTTGTGTATAATATTGGTACACAGACTGGGTAACTATTTTCAGATTATGAATAAGGTTTAGAACTGAAAATCAATTCTGGAATGTGCTAAATGGCTTTTTAAAAGTGCTGCTGTTCTTAAACGTTTAAGGCCATCTCATCATTCTTTCTCACCTTCTAAAAGGACGCTAACCAGTGGTGTGCGGTCACTGTTTTTAGTCTGCTGGACCAGCAGCTCCCCATCATCCAGAACGCGAGTAACTGGGTCACCCCATTTGATGATTCCATTCATAATGTAACTTGCATAATCCTCTTGATTTGTGCCAAATGCCTAATGAGGGAAAGGATAATTTAAAGCATTTTGAACATTAGTATTAAAAAGTAAAATATTTAATTTCTCCACCATTGTGTTATTTGTGCTTGGTTCTATTCCTCACCATATCTTCTCACAAGACTTTCAAGACAAGCAATACCTGACCAAGAAACAAAAGCAAAATTGTTCCATTCCCCAGGGGCTTGAATGAAAACTGGTAATTAAATGATGTGTAACTCTTTTTTGGGGGGAGAGGATACTGGGGAATTGAACTCAGGGTCACTCGACCATTGAGCCACATCCCCAGCCCTATATTGTATTTTATTTAGAGACAGGGTCTCATTTGAATTCACAATCCTCCTGCCTCAGCCTCTCAAACTGCTGGGATTACAGGCGTGTGCTACCACACCCAGAAAATCTTGTATAATTCTTAAGAGGACATATTAGAGAAGAACCAAACTGGGTCTACATAAAGAATTGTACGTGAGGGGCTGGGGTTGTGGTTCAGCGGTAAAGCACTCGCCTAGCATGTGCAAGACCCTGGGTTCAATCCTCAGCACTATAATAAAGGTATTGTGTCCAACTACAACTAAAAAAATATCAAAAAAAGAATTGCACATGAAATGATATACATATTTATACTGTGTCAAGGTCACTATCATCTTGCTGTAGTAAGCTGAAAATGTCACCATTGTCTGGACAGTTGGACATGTTTTATTTTATTTTATTTTACTTTTAAAGAGAGAGAGAGAGAGAGAGAGAGAGAGAGAGAGAGAGAGAGAGAGAATTTTTTAATATTTATTTTTTAGTTTTCAGCGGACACAACATCTTTGTTTGTATGTGGTGCTAAGGATTGAACCCGGGCCGCAGGCATGCCAGGCGAGCGCGCCACCACTTGAGCCACATCCCCAGCTCAGTTGGACATGTTTTATGGGTCCGATTTTTCTTTTTGTTTCTGTTTTGCACTAGGAGGTTGATTCAGTAATAAACGTAAAACCTTCTGAAAAAAATAAAGTAAAATACTGAAAGGCATAAAAGATGAGTAAAAATTCCTACACACCAAGACTATTAAACACTATCTTGTATTAACATTAAGTCTGAAAAGCCAAAACAATTAGGGGCATGAGTTGTAGCTCAATGGTAGAGCACTTGCCTGGCATGCGTGAGGCCCTGGGTTCAATCCTCAGCACTGCATATAAATAAATAAAGTGAAAGATCCATTTACAACTAAAACTAAAAATATTAAAAAAAAAAACAAAGAATAAAGCCATCTTATAATTTCTCATTTAATGTTTTTACCCAATCAAAACAACAGCAAAAAAGCTACTTTAGATGACTTAATGGAATAAAAACAATAGATTCTAGGCTCAGATTCTACCAGAACCCAAATCCTCATAATCCCTGAGCAAATGAGTACATTCCAACATGCTTGTATCTATAGAGTATATAGGTTGTGGTCATTCTGTCAAAAAAAAAATAAAGAGAGAAAGTAATTAAGGTCTTAGAAATTAGAAACAGCTCAGCAGATAGAAATATTATCTTAACACTGATTATGTTAGGTGCTGTTGATTAAAATGGGAATATGAAATAGAAATTATGTGTCCACATCAACTTTGTGATAGGGGAGATAAGTAAAATGGCACCAAGGTAAGGATATATATGTAAATATAAGGTTTAGAATGAGATAGAAATGAGAAGCTGTGGCTGGGGATATAGCTCAGTGGTAGAGTGCTTGCCTAGCACAAACAAGGCTCTGGGTTTAATCTCTAGCATCACACACACACATACACACACACACACACACACACACACAAAGGAAAAAATAAAAGACATGAGAAAGTATAGTGAAAAATTTAAAGGTTAGAAAAAGGAAATAACAGCAATAATTCTTTTTTTTTTAAGTTCATCACATATTGAAGCTTAAATCACATCCCTCTTCATTTTCAACTCCTAATTACAAAGATTATAATTCCCATCAAAATAGCTGCCCAAAGTTGTCAATAACTTTAGTACAAATAATTGAATTGGATTTTCATGATTAACAGGAGAATAAATGTGTTGAAAAAAACAAGCCCATGTTCATGTATAGGTCATATATTTTGAGAATTTCAACATTTCCTGCCCCTCCCCCCAACAGTACTAGGGATAGAATCCCTAGCCTTGCACACTGAGCTGTATCTCTCACCCTTTTTAAGAAAAATTTTTTGGAGAAAGGGTCTTGCTAAGTTGCCCAGACTGGCCTTGAACTTTGGATCCTCCTGCCTCAACCTCATGAGTAGCTGGAATTACAGGTGTGCTCTACCATGCCTGGCGGAGAATTTCAACTTTTTAAAGATTATCATATCCCTGAAAAAGTCATTTTTGATTACCTGATGTATGTGTTAATTTTAACAGTTCTTATAACTTCCATCTCGCAGAAAGTCATTTTGTAATATTGTCTCAAAAACAGTGCCACTTCTCCTGTTTCCATTACTTTACTACAAAATAATTTTTCAGATCACTCTCAGTACTGCCATTACCTACTCTGTACTTTCATTCCTGAGTACAGAGGAAAGTTCTCATTTTTTAGTCTGGATATGGAAATTCAGTGGTCCTGTAAAAAGTTATAAAGAAGAGCCTAATAAAGACCAGTTAAATGGCTTTTTGAGGATATATGTAGTAGGTTGGATAGCTTTTGTCTTTAATTGTTCGAAGTATATTTTCCAAGACTTTTAGAAGCTGCTTTAAAATGCCTAAATCATAAAAGAGTGTAGCCTCTAATCCCAGAGGCTCAGGAGGCTGAGGCAGGAGGATCAAAACCAGTCTCAGTGAGAAGATGCTAAGCAACTCAGTGAGACCCTGTCTCTAAATAAAATACAAAATACGGCTGGGGATGCAGCTCAGTGTTCGAGTGACTCTGAGTTCAATCCCTGGTACCTCCCCGGCCCTCCCAAAAAATTAAAAAGTGATTGTCTGAGGCTACATAGTAGTTATATCTTCATTATGCAGTCTATCATTTCATTTTTTTCTTTTATCCTCCAGACCCTTGGAATAAATAAAAGTAAATGTTTTGGTCTTATTTCCTCATAGCCAATTTATTCATTATTAAACAAATCTTGCAATAGATCAGTTGGCCAGGCTCTAACATTTTTGGTAACTATTACAAATGATAATGACAAAAGATTAAACCATTTCCATTGTTCATTAACTTCTGAAAATAATTGTTTTGTTTTAAAAGTCATAAAAAGTACACAGGGCTAAAACAAATTGACTTACCTTTAAAGAAGGTACTTATAACAAATAATTATTTTTAAAGACTATATAACAAATGGCCAATAAACATATAAAAAGATGTTCAATATCACTAGTCATTAAGGAAATGCAAATCAAAACTATAATAAGACCTCACACATATCCACTGAAATGGATACTACTACCAAAAAAAAAAAAAAAAAAGGAAAGAAAGAAAATAATAAGTGTTAGCAAAGATATAGAGAAAATGGAAACTTTGTACATTATTAGTGGGAATGTAAAATGGTATAAATGGAAAACAGTATGGTGATACCCCCCCCCCAAAAAAAAAAAAACCCAGAATTACCATATGATCTAGCAATTCTGCTTGTGGGCAAATATCCCAAAGGACCAAAAAGTGGGTCTTGAAGAGATATTTATATGTTCACAGCAGCATTATTCTTAATAGCTAAGATGTACAAGCAGCCCAAGTGTCCACTGGTGAATGAATGGATACGCAAAATGTGGTAAACACATACAATGGAATACTCCTCAGCCTTAAAAAAGAAAACTCTGATATATGTTGCAACATGGATGAACCTTGGGAATCTCAATCACCAAAAGACAAATACTGTATGCTTTCACCTATGTGAGGTACTGAGAGCAGTCAAAATTATGGAGACAGTAGAAAGATGTTTGCCAGGCTCTGGGAAGAGAGGGAAAAGGAAGTTATTGTTTAACAGATGTAGCATTTCAGTTTCAGATATGAAATAGTTCTGAGATGGATGGTAATGATGGCCACACAACATTATGAATTTAATACTATCAAATTGATGACCTCAAAAAATAATTAAGACAGTAAATTTTATGTTATGTGTATTTAGCACAATCAAAAAAGTGATGGGCTGAAGTTGTGGCTCAGAGGAGGAGCGCTCTTCTAGCAAGTGTGGGGCACTGGGTTCGATCCTCAGCACCACATAAAGTAAAATAAAGACATTGTGTCCACCTATAACTAAAAAATAAATATTTTTTTTTTAAAGTGAGAAAAGAATACTATGGAAAGAACTGGTGCAGATCAAACAAAAATAAACAATACAACAGAAAGATAGGCAAAAGACATGAAAGGCATTTCACCGAAGACAGGCATGAAGTCAATAAGCATGAGAAATGCTTAACTTTGTAAGTAATGCGTGAAATGGAAAACAAGACCAAAATGAGCCCCCTTAGAATTTACGTTTAACTGGATGGCAAGACTCAAGTTTGAGAATACCAAGTGTTGGAGAGGATGTAGAGGAAGCGTCTTTCCTACATTATTGGAGACAGTGCTAATTGGTTCAACCTCTTGGAAAATGATTTGAAATTATATTTTAAAGTTGGAAATTCATATAACCAAAACCCCAGAAACTTTATTTATTGACAGGAAATGGATACATTGTGGTATTCAATACTACAGAATGCTATTTAGTAATGAAAATGAATGGTGTATAGTTATAGGAAATCATATGAATGATCTTGGTAATTGAAATATTTAATAAAATAGCAAGTCCCAGAAAGTAACAAACAAATAACACATTTTATTTTACATACACTATGTATATGGACAAATGACAAAAGTGTGTCATGAATTAAAAGAATAAGATTAATCTACTTCTGTGTAGATTTTCCATTTAAGAAAGAAAACAAATCTTTAAGAACTGGGCCTTTCTACAGTTTGTTTTTGTACTAACACACGGGCTCTAAACAATGGCTACTTGAAGTCGTTAGTGGTTGTTTTGTAGAAAAATGAGCTAATGACCTTATCCTATATTCTAAAGCTCCAACTCTGTTTTGAGTACATTTTCAGAAAACTCTATAGAGTACTTAGGATTGTTAAGAGTCTTAGAAGCTACAGTGGTCAGAGAACTAGAGGAATTGAAAAAAAAAAAGAAGAAACCCTTAGAGGAGGTGAGGAAAAGTAGAAAGGAAGAGGGGGGAGGGTATAAGAGCTAATAACTCACATATGAAGGATGAACTGAATTCAGGTTTCTATATCTTGAGATTATATGAAAACCAATAAGAAAACTAATTCTAGTTCAATATAAAATAAGAACTAATAAAGTCTCAAAATTGAATGGGCTGCCATATAAGGTGGTAAGCTTCTTATCATGAAAATATTTAGATAATGGTTAATCATCCAGCCACCAAGAGACATTGTACAGATGTTTACTTTTTTTTATGGTGCTGGTGATGGAACTCAGAGTGTCCAGTGAACTGGGTCAGCAGCCTCAGATATTTCATATATTGGACACTTCTAGTACTAAGATTTTTTTCATTTTATAAAACTATATATGATATCATCTTCTGTAATACTGGGAAAATGGCACTTATTTTTCCTGAATTATCATCACTATTATTATGGCTTATATATAACTCAATTATCTATACTCACTGGTTTGATATCATTCTCCAAAGAAGCAAGGAAGTCTCCTCTTGTCACCTGCAGGCTCTCTGCTTTCTCCATGTCCACTTCCACTTTAGTACTTGCCTAAGTCAAAATGGGAAAAAAAATACAGGAACTTTCAAGATTTAGAAATATTTTCAGCCTAAGAAAATAATATCTGAAGATTAAAAAGCATATTTTTACAGATAAAAGCTCAAATTTTTGCAAATCATATGTATTTAACAGGATTAATATGCAGAATTTATAAGAAAAACTATTAAAATTCAACCACAAAAAAATCTAGAATTTAAATAGACATTTTTCCAAAGAAGATGTACAAATGATTGAAAACACATGAAAAGGTGTTCAACATTATTAACCATTTAGGGAAATACAAATGAAAACTACAATGACATTTCACCTGATATACATTAGGATGGTTACTAACAAAACAAACAAACAAACAAAACAGAAAATAATATGTGCTGGCAAGGATGTTGAGAAAATAAACTCTTGTGCACTACTGGGGGAACATGAAATGGTGCAGACATTGTAGAAAACAGTACAGTGGTTCCTCAAAAAATGAAAAATAGAATTAATGTATAATCTAGCAATTCCACTTCTGGGTGTCTACCCTAAAGGGTGGAAACGGGGTCTTGAAGAGATATTTGCCTACCCATGTTCATAGTAGCATTATTCATGATAGCTAAGATGTGGAAACAATCCAAGCATCTACTAATGAATGAATGGATAAGCAAAATGTGGTAACTACATACACTGGAATACTACTCAGTCTTAAAAAGGAAGGGGAGCTGGGGTTGTGGCTCAGTGGTACAGTGCTTGCTTAGCATATGTAAGGCACTGGGTTTGATTCTCAGCACCACACATAAATAAATAAAATAAAAGGTTCATTAAAATCTAAAAAAAATTTTTTTAAAAAGGAGGGAATTCTGACACGTACTATAACACAAATGAATCTTGAGACTATTATGTTAAATGAAATATATCCATTACAAAAATACAAATATTCTCTGATTCTTCCTATGTAAGCTATTTAGAGTAGTCAAAATCAGTCAGTCAGATGTTAAAACAGTGGTTGTCAGGCTAGGGAGAGGGTAGAATTAAGAGTTAGTGTTTAATGGATATAGAATTTCAGTTTTACAAGATGAAGAGTTCTAGAGATGGACAGTGGTGACAGTTCCACAAATGAACTATACATTTAAACTTACACTCACCTGTACACTTAAAAGTGGTTAAGTTGGTAAGTTTTATGTTACTCATGTTTTAATACAACCAAAAACTTAGAACAACAAATTTTTAAAAATCTCTTCAATTTATAAATATGTACATCCTTCGAACAATTCCACATCTAGGAATTTATTCCATAAATACATTCACAAATGTGTACAAAACTAAATGTACAAGGATATCTACTAGAGTGATTTGTAATAATAAAAGACTGGAAGCATACTGAATGTCCACCAACAGGGGTCAATGAAGAAAATGACAACATATCTATACCAAAGAACACTTTATAGTCCTTAAACAAAACAAAAACAACAGTAACAACAACAACAACAACAACAAAATGAGGCATAGCTGGGTGTGGTGGTACATGCTTGTAGGCCCAGGTACTTGGGAGGCTAAGGTAGAAAGATCGCTTGGGCCCAGCAGTTTGAGGCCAGCATGGCCAACACAATGAGACTTCAAAGACATAGATGCCCAGCCCACCCACCTCAGGATTTTGGTTTAACAGGTCCCATGGGGGGTCTACACCTTTATACGTTTATGAAGTGCCATGGAATGATTCTGATACTGAACCAGGTTTAAGAATCATTTGTTTGGAGACCAAGGACTTGAAACTGATTTATAATCATAGTGTGTGCTTGAGAACCTAAGTGCCAGCTCCAAATATTCTGCTTACTGCACCTGGAGCTAACACTTAGACATCTGGAGAAGCATCAAGGTCTTTATCAGCACTTGGAGCTGCCTGGACCTGATGAGTGATTAAGATACCAACACATTTTTTAATGTGACTGGGCTCACTACCAATAGCACAAAGCAAGAGTCAGTCTAATTTTTAAATTGGTATCATGTTTTTTTTTTTTTTAAAGGCATCTTCAAAAAAAGCTGACTATAAAACAAAAGTATGTTAAGCAAATATCAACCTTCCATCAATATATAAAATATGAGTCATATTCCTTTAGGAACCGACTCCTGAGACAAATAAAACGACAGACATTAAAAAAGGGGGGAGCAGCCTTAAGGGATAAAAAGAACTATGTCAAGAAACTGGATCAAGATGGCAAAGAGAACACATGTATTTGTTTCTTTTTCTGCCCCAAATTTTAAGAAATGAGAAAGATTAAAAAGCATGGAAGATATATGCAGAAATCTTAACACTGACCTAACAGGAGTCTGAGCAGCAGAGAACAGAAAGACTAATAAAGAAGACACAAAAGACAGAAGAGAAAAAAATTCCACAGCTACAGAAAGGCGTGTCTTTGTAGTTTAAAGGGTTCAATGAGTGCTGATCAGTGTAAGTGAAAAGCAACCACAACTGTCTAGACACACTGTTGTAAACTTTCTGAGCACCAAAGATGGAAAAGTCTAAGAACCTTTCTATGAGACAAAAATGGGTGGCCTGTAAAAAATTGGAATAAGATTGGGATGACACCTTCGCTGGCACTCCTAGAAACTAGCAGACAATGAACATATGTCTTCAAAAATATGTCTGGATATCTGACCTGGAAATGACTCCCGTACGAACACAAGGAGGCACAAGAGAGCATTATCATATCAGTATTGTTTTTAATAGACACAACCAGAAATATCCTAGATGTTAAACCATTCATTCATTCTTTCATTCATATTTACTGAGTGTCCTAGGAACTAGAGACAACACTAAATAAAATAGACAAGTCTCGCCCTCACAGATCTTATATTTAAAATCATGTGGTAATATTCTAGAATACTGTGCCTTTGTCCAAAATAATAAAGGGAACTTATATGTACCAACATGGTAGGTTATCCAAGACATACTAGCAAGTAAAAAATGTAAACTATAGTCAAATTCCATTAATGTTCATTTTTTTGAAAGCACATATGTATGTATATGAATGTAAATATGAAGAAAGCAAATTACAAAGGTATATCCCAAATGTTGGCTACCTCTGAAGAGGAGAAGGAAGGGATGTTGGACATGGTCTTTCTCATTTTTCCCTATATACTTTGGCATCCTTGAATCTTCTAAAAATAGAGTGTATTCATTTATGACTTCTATGATAGTCTATTTCGTGTTAACTATAACTTAACACCTGAGGCAGGTTAACATTAAAAAAAAAAAAAAAGAGGTTTATTTAGCTTACAGCTTTGGATGCTGAAAACCTAAACACCATGGTGCACACTCTGGCAAAGGCCCCATGGCAGATGAGAAGAGTGTGTGCAGGATAAAGAATTCATCTCTCTAAATGGGAAGCCAGAGGGAGACTGGGTAGAGGGGGGCTTAGACTTATGGGAATACTCTCTCTAGAACTAATCAGGGTCTGAGAAGAAAGAAATACTTCAACTCCTTGGGAGGGTAGGGCTCAGTGTCCTAAGGACCTCCCACTAGGCTCCACCTCTTAAAGGTTTCATAGCCCCTCTCAATACTGTCACTGGGGCAACAAACTCACAACACCTGAACCTTTGGGGAGACAACATCACTGAAACTATATCAGGTTCCATATTTTTAAAAAGAAAGAAAGTGATAAGTAACATTTAAATAGATGAATATTCCACTTAAATAGAATAGTTGGCATTTAGATTATTAATAAGGATTTCATTGGTACATATTAGGCATTCAATAAGTATTAATCATATTTATTTAGCATTTCTAAGTTTAAAAATAGGGAAATGTATTATAGGAAATGGGCATCTCCATGAAAAAAGTATGTTAGCTCAGGCTAGGGATGTAGCTCAGTGGCAGAGTGCTAGGCCCTGCATTCAATACCCAATACCACCATCATCAAAAAAGAAAAAAAAAGAATTCTGATAACTCATAAAATATAAATCTCTACAGCCAACTTTGTGTGTGTGTGTGCGTGTGTGTGTGTGTGTGTGTGTACGTGCATGCGCGCATGTGCTGGGGACTAAACCCAGGGTCTTGCATGTGCTAAACACACACCCTTAACACTGAGTTACACCTCCAGCTCTAGAGTTCTTCATCAAGTATGTTCATATACATTATCTCATTTCATCAAATCACATTATCTCATTTGATATAAACCTGGAGGCTTTCATAAGTCAATAAGGGCAGACATAGGATTTCCTTCCTGAGCAGCTTTACACAAAAGCTTTAACTGATTAAAACTTTTGACACATCTAAAAGGATTCTACAAAATGCAAACTATCACATGAAGGTGAAGAAGCAAGCTCCAACAGAATCATATTAAAATCCCAGTGAAGCTACCAGCCTCTTTTAAATGGCCCCTCCTTGTGTAGTCTTAAATTTTTACTATGATATTTGATATTTTGATTTGCTCTTATAGTAAAACTGAATTCAAATGACAGAAACACACAGTAATGTGAAAGAAAAATCTTGTCCATCTTTCAGTGCTTGCAAAAAAAAAAAAAAAATCAAAATTCCAGGAATGAAGGTGGTTCAAAACATCTTTTGACTAATTATTATTATTACTGTGAATATTATTTGGTACTGGAGATTGAACCCAGGAGTGCATTACTATTGAGCAACATCCCCAGCCCTTTTTGTTTTTATTTTAAGACAGGGTCTTGCTGAGTTGCCCAGGCTGGTCTTGAACTTGCAATCCTCCTGTTTCAGTCTCCTGAGTTGCTGGGATTATAGGTGAGCATCACTGTGCAGAGCTTTTTACTTATTATTAAGAAAGAATTCACTTCAATGAATTAAAAGTGAAATAAAACAGATACAGAAAAACAAATACCACATGTTTTCATTTATATGTGGAAGCTAAAAAAAGTTATCTCATAGAAGTAAAGATTAGATATAGCAGTTATGGGAGGCCAGGAAGGGCAGGGAGGGAACAGAGAGAAGATGGTTAATGGCACAAGGGTGCAGTTAGAAGAAATAACCTCAAATGTTACAAATC